AAAAAAATTATCAAATAAAATTATTCAATAAAAACTACCATGAAAAACAATTTTTAGGTTGTTGGCAGAAAAAGAAAAAAAAATTATCAATTACCATATATTATATAAATATATAACCTAAAATTAAGGGGAAAAAAATCAAACGAGTTAAATCTTGGAAGGGAGTACCATCCAAGCTCGAGAGGAGTCCGCAAGACATCGGCCGGGAACCTTGCGACGACTCTTCGGATAATGTAAAGTCAACCGCTTGAGTTAGGCACTTTTCTCTGTATAAAACATTGCTCTTCTGTACGCCATTTGCTCAACTGCAACTGAATCCAAAAGTCTCAACCACAGCTAGTGCTCATGGCGAACTCACGACAGCCAGGCGGTTTCTGTGGAGGATATGCAGGGGAGATGGGTTTCCAGTCATATCCGAACACTGGAACGGGCTGTAAGTCTTTCGTTGTTATTGATTCTTGGTTTTCTGTTTATTTTTGGGTATATCAGAGGTTTCAGCCTGATCTTTACCTTAAATCACAAGGTTTTTAAGTTAATGAGTATTAACTCGGTTAACATCCAAATGATTCAAGTTGTTTCCTCATTTGTGTTTTGTAAAGAAGTAATTGAAATCATGTGCGATGTTATGGTCTTCCTTGATGTTGTTTATGTGAAGAGACTATTTTCAGTTTTTCTTCGTGATGAAAGTTTTCATGCCCAAATCCGTTGCCTTTATAAGTGCTACAGTCTTTCTCCCTCACCTGAAGCTCACGATCGAACACCAAGAAGAAGATAAAGATTTGAACAAATTACAAGATAAGAATTGACTAAATTCTATTAACATGATCTCATTAAAATTAGTACCGTGAATTCCTTGACTTTTTGCAGGTGATCCAGAGAACCTCCTCGATGATATAATTGAACTTCTTGGATCCCCACAGAATCCAACCATGGAGATGCAAATTAACAGCCAACAACACCGTCAACCAGATGGAACGATTCATGGAAATGGGTTTCCAGATCAAACCAATATCTATGTTCAAACAACTGGTACATCTGACAGCCAACAACATGCTCAACCAACTGGAAAGAGTCATCAAATTAGTGTTTCTGTACCGCTGAGTTCGGATCAAACCAACATCAATGTTCAAACAACTCGCACCCCGAGAATGACTCCGGAGGAGCAGGCTGCGAGGAAGAAGGAAAACGACAAAAGATTCAGGGAAAAAAAGAAGGTAAAAACTATATATCTCCTTTAACTTTCTATTGATTTTTTCATTGTCATTTAATACTTGCATGCTATTTAGTAAATACTAGATAAGATAGTTGAGATGTTCTTTTTATTTCTGGATGGTTATTTATTTATTTTTTGGTACATCACCACTATACAAGAGGGGATAGTTCTCCCTATCCTTATATTTCTCCTCACTTGAGAATATGAAATCTTCAAGTTAGAGTCTCAAGTTCTTAACTAATTTTGAGCCACCATTGTAGGCATTTTTGAATGGTTATTTACCTTGTATTTTGTCCTTCATCTTTTCAGAATGAGGTGACAGAAATGAAAGATAAATTGAAGAAATTTGAAGATGAGGTGGAGAAGTTAAGGAAAGAGAAGGCAGAATGGGAACATGCAAAGGTTTCAATGGAGGAAGATTTGCAGTCTGTAACAGCAGTGAGAGATGAGCTGAAAAACAATTTTGAAAATTTGAAGCAAGAATGTGATGAGGCAAAGGCCCTTTATCGAGAGCTATTACTAAGTCACTTTGTTCCAAAACTCATTTTGGTATAACCATTTGTCTTTCCCTGTTTGTGTAATATATATAGAAATATTTTTTTTCCAAATTATGCATATATTTGACTTTCATGTGTCTAATCTACCTTTTTGTGTCTGACAATTGCAGAAAGAAAAGGATTTGAGGTTCATAAAGGAGGGGGACAAACATGATATGAAGCCAACACAATATCAGTCTTCTTCAGATGAAGAAAGGCACTCAGAAAAAGAAATGTCAGCTGGAAACTTAGATGGTGATGACTCTGAAGATGACAATGTTTGTAAAACGAAAAAGAAGCGTGCGGCCCATTCAGCTCCAAGTGGAGGTCGTTCTGGCAAGGTTCCTAAGTTACTGTGTTGTAATGCCACCGCTGATCAGAGAAATGGATCCACAAGTAATCATGCTGCCATGGGCAGGGGTCCCTACTCCGTTGCTGAATGCATTCGTATTTTAAAAACCATGGGAGGCATAGACTATTCTATCGTACAGAAAGCAAGAGCTAAATTTGAATCATCAAATGAAAGGGAGTATTTTGTTGAACTAACTGAAGGTTGGAGAGAGGACTGGGTGAAAGAGTTGAAGACTGATGCTTGAAGAAATTTTTCTAGTTATATTTAAAATTTAAGAAGGAACATTTTTTTCTCTTGGACATTGGGAACTTTGTTTTGTTTGAATTAAACTTTTATTTTGCTTGAACTATTTATGTTAAATAGTTTTCTTCTTTTCATTAATTTTTAGACAATGATATTATTAATTAGAGTATATATACTACTGTGATTACTTTGATTTTTTTTTTTGGCTACAGTAATTGATTTATATTTGTTCTCTGGTAAGGTATTAGTAATATATTTAATTTCAGAATATATATGAAAGTATAATAAAATTAGTTAAAACAAAAAAAAAAGAATAAAAAAAAATGAGGT